GGGGTTTTTTTTTGTAGACACCACATGATCACCCAAGTGAAAGGAACCTGAAGACAAACCTGAGCCTTGCTATCCTTCCCCATCCTTTCACAGCTAACTCAAAATTTATTTAGTAAGGAAGAAATGGCAGTACTTTTATTCATCCACCATTAGTGGTTTAACCTCAGAAGAAGGGAAGCGTTTTAAAAATTTGAGGCAGACTAAAGGTCATCATCTTTGGTCTCAGGATGACTCCTTCCTCGAGAACATGCACATGTATGCATCTACTACATACATGCTGTCACACTGAGCATACATATTCCCTCATTGTCACTTTATAAAGGCACATCAAAGCTTATATTTTAAACAAAATGGGGCAGCAATAGTTCATAGTTGGTAGGATTGGAAGGGACCTGAGCAAGTCATCAAGTCCGACCCCCTGCCATGGGCAGGAAAGAATGCTGGGGTCAAACGACACTGGCTAGGTGATTATCTAGCCTCCTTTTGAAGAACCCCAGGGTAGGAGTGAGCACCACTTCCCTTGGAAGTTGGTTCCAGATCCTAGCCGCCCTGACTGTGAAGTAGTGTTTCCTGATGTCTAGCCTGAACCTACTTTCAGTCAACTTGTGGCCATTATTCCTAGTTACTCTAGGTAGTGCTCAGGGGAACAGGGTCTCTCCCGTTCTCTGCTGGTCACCCTTGGTTAAGTTTATAGATGGCCACAAGATCTCCCCTCAGCCTTCTCTTGTGGAGGCTGAACAGGTTCAGGTCCCATAGCCTCTCCTCGTAGGGCCTGCCCTGCTGCCCTCTGATCATGCAAGTGGTCCTCCTTTGGACCCTCTCAATGCTGTCCGCATCGCCCTTGAAGGGCGATGCCCAGACTGGACACAGTACTCCAACTGCAGCCTGACCAATGTCGCATAGAGGGGGAGGATCACCTGCTTGGACCTGCTCGTGATGCATCTGTGGATGCATGACGAGGTGCAGTTAGCCTTACTGACCATGTCCCCACATTGGCGGCCCATGTTCATCTTGGAATCAATAGTGACTCCAAGATCCATTTCTGCCTCTGTGCTGACAAGAAGGGAGTTCCCCAGCCTGTAGGTCTGCTGCTGGTTCTTCCTCCCTAGGTGCAGTACCTTGCGCTTGTCAGTACTGAAACCCATCCTATTCTCATTCGCTCACCCCTGTAACCTGTCTAGGTCCGATTGCAGCCTACTCCTCCCTTCTAGCATGCCCACTTCTCCCCACATCTTAGTGTCATCTGCAAATTTGAACAAGGTGCTTTTCACCCCCTCGTCCAAGGCGCTGATAAAGATGTTGAACAGTGCGGGCCTGAGGACTGAGCCCTGGGGAACCCCACTGCCCACCTCTCTCCAGGTCAAAAATGACCCACCACTCTCTGGGTGCAGCCCTCCAGCCAATTTGTGACCCATCTGACTGTGTAGGCACTGACACCACAGTCGCCTAAATTTTTAATGAGAATGGGATAAGAGGCAGTGTCGAAGGCCTTCCTAAAGTCCAGAAAGACTATGTCCACCACGACACCTACATCCAATGATTTTGTAACCTGGTTGTAGAAGGCAACCAGGTTGGTCTGACAAGACCTGCCTCTAATGAACCCATGTTGGTTGCCCTTAAGCATAACAGGAGAAGAACAAGTAATTAGGCAAAAATAAAAGGAAGAACAGAGGGAAAAAGGCAGTTCTAAACAAGGACTGACCCAAGTCAGTCATATTCAGCAGCCGTGTAGTTAAAATTATTATGTGCAGTGTATCAAAAGGATGTACCTTATTAGTACTGGAGAAAATGATCTGATGAAGTGATGAGTCCCACAACACTTCAGACATATTTTCCAATCTTGCTGACCTGTGCAAGAAAATGTATCAATCAGCATTTTGGCAGCTCTATCAGGAAAGGCATGTCTGAAAAGCATCTCAGAATATTTTTTAGAGGAAAATATATATGATTACTTATTGGTAACACTTAGCAATATGATCTCCATTCACAAACTACATGCTGAACTTCAGATTTCTGGACACTTCCTATCGCCATTAACATTTCAAGTGTATTTTGATGCTTGTCATTCCAAATATTTCATAAAGATTCTTATATTATACAATAGGCACATCTACATGTGATGCTACAGTGACATAGCAAAGTGCTATGGCAACATAGCACTGGCGGGCATCTGCACATGACCAGCAGGTACTTCGTCGTAGCAACACGCTCCCCTGGCATAGCACACCACAACAGCAAAGTAGCTGTTAAAAATAACCATGTGCTGTGTGTACAGCACAGTACAGGCTGTTACTTCCTTTTAGTACCAAAAGGAAGTACTAAATCATGGTGAAGTAACAATGTTGCCATAGCAACACATGTAGACACGCCCAATGAGACCTGTCACCTGTTGAGTATGTAACTATATGATATACCCATTTTTAATTTTTTTTGAGAAAGGCCCAGACAGATCACACATGTAATAGTCAGTGGGTACATCTACATGAATCACTAAAAGTGCAGTAGATTAATTCTACTGCGCATTAGCATGTCACGGCAAAAGCTGTGCTAATGCGCTAATGCACAGTAGAAGTAGTAAAAGATGCGTGCCAGTGCTACTGCTCAGTAGCACCAGTTACAACGCATTGTTAGTATCTATTATTACAGGTACTAAAATTAATGTGCCATAATTATGGTACAGTAATGCATGTGTAGATGTGCTCAGTGTTACCCAGGCTGTTAACATAAGCACCCATAAGCCAGCTATCCAAAGCCATTTGCCCTGTTGAGCAGTCAGCATGACCACAAGTGTTTATATAGCACTATATGAGAGCAAAAATTTACCAGAATTCACATAAAACCTTCCTGGGTCTTGCAGCTCCCTTTCACCATGCTGACTTGAATAACCATCCCTTGCAAAACACCTTGGGCTAAATCCTACACCACCTACTAGGTGCCTGAGTATGATCCTATTCCACCCACCTCAAATCTGAAAAACTGCCAATGCATCTATTTTTATAACAGGCTGTCAACTTAACTTTAACGCTAAGTCACAAAAAAACAATGAGGAGGAGGACTCACCAACCTTCTGCATTAACAGTTTTTCTGGGATTTAAGCCAGGTAAAATAGGATCACATTTAGGCACTTCATAGATAGAGTAGAATCTGGACCTTTGAGTCCTGAGGTCTTTGTATGGACCCTAACCCAAGCAACCTTCTTTGATCTGTAGCAGGAGGCTAGAAGTAACCTGAATATGTGCATGGTACAGTCACACACCTTCATTACAATAAAATGAAACAGTTAAAGGGACACTTCTACTTGAAGCCTTTTATCTACCAGACTTGCTTTGTGCACAGGCAGTTTCCCAGTTTTATCAATGGCCAGGTGCCTCATTCTCAGGCATTGCTCCAAGGGGGAGTTCACGTGCATTTTCTTGGGCCTCCAAGCCTTGCTACAGGGCACTTACCAGGAGTAGAGCAGAAGAGCTTCTGCTATTTCTGTTTTGGATCAGAAGAATATTGTTTTTGTCCAAGGGTACCCTTGCATAGAGCTGAGAGTGACCAAAGCTGGTAGACATACAGAGGGCTGGAGAAAACCCCCTTTTCACTTTGACTCAGTTCTATTAGATAAGAACACTAATATAAATCAGCTGTTACTGTAAGTGTTTTCCTACTGCTCACTTTAAGCTCAAATCTGTGGTGCTCAACCTTTTGGTTTGATGGGCAGGATGAGTGGTGCAGAGCTGGTCTGCAGGCCAGATCCTGCCCATGCCACCTTGGCTGGCTTGTGCGCACCTGAATTGAGCCCAACACCACTTCAGCTGGCCCCTGCACCCTCTATCTAGCATGCAGGGAATAGCCACCACTCCCTCGCTGCCAAATTTTTGGACCCTAGAGGATGGTTGCAGGACAAATGACATGGCCTGGGGGCTAGGGATTGAGTACCCTTAGTCTTTACTGTACTTCTGCCAGTAGTTCTGAAGTTACAGCAAAACTAAACTGTAGTGGGAAAACTGATGGGATGCTCATATGCATGAAGTACAGGAAATGATTGTGCAACTACAGCCCTGAAAGGCAGTGGAATACTGTTGGAGTCAAGCTGGCAGGGAGCCACTGATAAGTATGAGAGATTGCATACTGCCAGTATGGCTTATCTGTAGTGGGCTCCTCTGCCTATGTAGCTGTGCTACTTATAAGACTAGGTACAGGAATTCAAAAAGCCCTAGGTGGACTCAATCTAAGTTACGTGGTTTTCTGGTGTAGCTTAGATCAGTACTGAATAGAGCACACACCCACCCTCTGGTGGGGGAGGGATGGTAAATCTTAGACCAGGTTCTGGCATTTTTAAATCAGGCTGTATGTACTGAACTTCCATTCTGTTAACAGGTATAAACTGGTTTCCTTATATCGGTAAAATGTAACGTCTCTACGGTCCTGGCCTAAATGTCTCATGCAGATGTGCTGCATCCTCACACTAGGATTAAGTCTCACTTTACATGGCTGCAGTTAATCTCAATAGGGAGTTTGCAGCACTGTTGCCATGCCAGGCAAAAACCCATAATGTAGATGAGCTCTTAGTTTTCTGCCAAAGGTGCCATAGTCACCTGCTGGGAGAGCAGCAGGCTTGCACTGGAGGCCAGCACTTGTTGCAATAGAATTCGCACCTCTCCAACCCTGGAACAATATTTTTGCTCCAGTGAAGCTCCACTGAATCATGGCAAGCAGCAGCAAAAGTCACGTTAACTCATAAATTGTGCTTTGGGGAAGAGATCTGTGTATTTAGTATTTTGAAGGGGAAGGACTTTTATCACCTGTGTCACAAAGGAAGGAGGACCCCATTCTGTTTAAGTAAGGACTGACTGTTTAAGCTCCAGGTACGGCAATGGAATTTGTGGCTGTTCCATACCTCTGCAAATCCGTAAATGAAGCCATGATTTGTTAAGATAAAGCAAAAGGAATAATGAAATGAAAAAGAAGATATGCATTTCCCTAAATTGGCTTCATTAAATGATCTGGGAGGCAGAGGTGTGCCTGGGCAGCCATGCTGGCATGGTGCTGATCATAGTGGCATGGTTAGCCACTGCTGCAATCATGGATATTTCTGTGCCCCCCGCCCCTTACAAAGGCAGCACCTGGGGCTGCTGTCTTGGTCACCCCACTTAGTTATGCTACTGGTGGGAGGTAGAATAATCAATTAAAATATTTGCTTGGCTTCCTGATCAGAGGGCAGAAACGGAGCAATAGCTTTTTTATTTGGGAAGACGAATGACAAAATGGGATCTTCTGTGTGAGAGCTAGATCGAATTTGTTCATCCCTTTGTACTAAATGCACTTAAATGGCAATACAAACACTATTTTTCTACTGATATTTTGCAATTCAGTAGCAATAATAATATTTGTGAACTACATTTCTGGGCAATCCTTTTGAATTTGTATGCAGTGTTTTTAATATGGTCAAAAAGGCAGTTATTTCAAGCGTAGGTGCTGGAAGACATATTAGTATTGTTCTTAATTTTGAATATAATGTTGTTAACATGGATACTGAAATCAATCAACATTCTACTGTGGGCATTCTGACTGGCTAGATTGCATGTACATACTTCTATATAATATACAAATTATGAATATACAAATGTATAAAACAGTATAGAAATAAAATAACATATATTTCTACATTTCTTATATCTTATTTAATCTTTGTGTCAATTACAAGGAGTTGGTTTCAGACAAAAAATGTGCTCATGATTCCTTTCACTTGGGCATACTAGTTGGAAGAAATGAATGATCCCCTGAGATAGTTTCTCAGAGGAAAGGAAGTGTTTGATGAATGAGGTTAGAAAGGTCTCAGTGTAGCTGTGTCATGCCTCAGTAAGGGCTTCCTCAGAGAAGAATGATAGTGGTTACTGTTGCCTTTACAGATGTGGGAGGATATCCAGGCAGCTGACTTGCAGTGTACTCTTAAAAAAATAGCTTACTATATTCCTACAGCTTCATTTGAAGTGATCAGGATAAGCCAGTTGTGGTATATTCAGTTATTTAAATGCTGTAAATCAGTGTTATGTGTTAAAAACACAGATGGGAGAAAGGTTTGTTTTTATCAACTGGGAATTATACACACAATCTGAATGATATCCCTTTGACAACAATTGTTAAGTTTCACTGCCATTGTCACTCAGGGACAAAAATTAGTGAATTAAAGAGAAAGAGAGGGAAGTTACAGACACTAACTGAGAGAAAAACCACAAAAGAGGGACAGAGCAAGCTAATAAATAAAACAAGAGCCTGAAGGGAAGAGCTGCTTTGTCAGAATATAAATATTTCCTTTCTCCTTTTATCTTTAATGTGGTGTGAGGAGCTTATTAAAGGCAAGTGTATGTCTGTCCCTGGAGCCCATCCACGTAACCATGCAGGGAGCTGAATCCAACACTACTAGCATATCCACTCATATACAAACTCTTCTCTGCTGGAAACAATTGTAACGTACCAAGTAATGAAAGGGTAAGAGAGAATCCATTGTGGCATGTAGAATTCTTATCTTGATGGGCCTGATGTTGTATTATGTTAATCATTCAGCGACGCTGACAGAGGCCTAAAGAAGACAATTCTCTGCTCCCTCTGGGTTTGAATTCCAGGAAAAGCAGATGTTATAGACATTGTTTGGTATTACATGGTCTCTTTTATTAGGCAAGAACAATGTCCAGGTTTGTGACAAAGCCAAATTTTGTCTCTTAGTGAATGAAAACAGGATGGTAAAAAGCCCCTGTGAGTGCTGGAGCCCTTCATTCCCTTTTTGCATTATTTAGTGGCCCATCTGAATAGAACACACCTTGCGGTCCAGTAAGTACCAAGGAAATTATTCCTTTTAACCA